CGATAGTATATCGTGTTACTAATGTAATTTTATAAATCAATCGAAGTATCGACAAACTTGTTGAAACTATTGCCCTTGATACACTATTGGTTATTATATTTGATCAGTTTTACGTTCATAGTGAATAAGCGCCGCGGCCCGCGATCGTTGTCGTTAAGCAACTTTCGCAAGGGTCGGTCATGGGATGGGTGACCAAAAAATTGTTATCTCGAGCTACTCCGTGCTTCGAAAGCACATTAAGCCGTTGGTCCCGGCTGCATTTGCAGTCGTTAATACCCTCCAATCCTCATTGCGCCAGCGTAGAGGGTCATGGCCCATCCTCCTTAACCATCTATAAGGAAGGTCTGAGCCCCTGCAGTGGGGACGTAAAAGGGTTGCTGAAGAATGGTACATTGATTTGTATTTATAAAAAAAAAATTATAAATATTCACCTGTGTCAGGTGCCCAAAACGTGATTCGCCTTTTCCTTTCGCAATCCGGGCGCTTGCTCTGACGTCAGACGCCTACAGAGCAACTCGGAGAGCAGTTGGGTTGCAAATACTCATGGGATTCTACAGAACACTGATTTCTGTGTTATATCGATATATTTAATGTATCATATCAATATATTTCAATAATATTATTGATAAGTTTTATTTAATTTGCATTTCTGAATAAAATATATTTACACTTTCTTCAAGTTTCCACATCATTTATAAACCACGAATGTTTGTGCCAGTGCTATTTGTATCTTCATTAGTAATGCTTGAGTAATAGTAGTATATACATTATACACTTGACATAGACAGAATGTGTCTCCATTTCTAAATCCTACTCCATGCTCATGCTGTTTAACAAGTGAGTTTTAATAAGTCTTGTTTAAACCAAGTCTAATTTACTGTCTAAATTATGTACTACAGAATAATGACAACTAATCTGAAAAATTTAAAGAAGAAAGTGCTAGTTACTATAGTTATTATGTGTTTTTTGTTGTTAAACTAAATTAATTTTGCCCGTGGAAGAGCTACGCTTCGGCATGAATGGGCCGGCTCGACCGAAGTGATACCACGGCCTCACAGAAAACCGACGTGAAGCAACGCTTGCGTTGTGTTTCGTCGTGTGAGTGAGGGTACCAGAGGCCCAACCCCTCCCTATTCCCTTCCCTCTACCCCTCAACCCTTCCCTCCCTATGATCAGATTCGTCCCTCAAAGGCCGGCAGCGCGCTTGTAGCCCCTCTGGTGTTGCATGTGTCTATGGGCGACGGTAATCACTTACCATCAGGTGATCCGTCTGCTCGTCTGCCCCCTATCCCATAAAAAAAAAGAAAAAAAAAAGAAAGTTAACTTATTACGTGTTGATATGAAATATGAGCTATCGTCTACCGAAATACACATATATTTTTGCCAAAGCTGTTTATAATTTAGAAACATCCATACTTTTTATCAAAACTAGGTAATATAGGGTTATAATAGAGATTTATTCTAAATTGTGCCAATATGTTTAGTGACTCACAAATACAACAAACAAAGAGCATTTTTATTAGATGCCAGTTGCAAAGTACTAATAAAGCATCCCATAATACGTTCTCTATAAATTTTATTTATTTTATTAGGAAAACAAACAGTTTACCAATTAATTGCCACTATATCGACATATCTTCAATGATGTTGGTGGTATGCTTAATCAATTAATAATAGTTTCGCAAATATTATCGTACATATATTATTATCATTTTTAATTTCTTCTTTAAACTGGGTATCTAGTAAAGCGTAGATTATATAATAGCAATCTAATTCTACAGTCATATCAATAATAGTATGATAATTTTTCAAAACCAATTATGTTTATCGATATTGAAATTGTCACTATACGACCAACACTTTCTGTTGTATTCAATACTACAATATAGACCAGAGATTCCCAAAGTGATAAATATCGACCCCTTGCTTTCTCAGCCAAATTGATTTCGGAATTCGAGTCAGTCTAAATCATCGACCATCGATTAACACAAGTCCTTATTTCACGATATTGCGACAAAGATTGGTATCGATAGTACAAATACCAATCTATATCGCAGAAGATCAAGTAATCTAATAAAAATACTTTACTACCACGCACTACGATGCTATAAAAAATAAGTTTAAAAGTAGTTTTATTTAATGAATGAATGAATAATAATTTTATTTGCATATATCACGATAGAATAGTGTCCGTCAAAATACATATAAGAAAGAAGGATAAAAAATAATATTTCACGTATTAAATAATGAAACTTGATATTTACTGAGTTTTATCTATATATATTTTGTTTAATATTAAATAAGAGCCAAGCTGACTCACTTATTCATTTGATTTGATTTGATTTATATGATTTTTTATTAATTTGGCTATGGGGGTCTGAGGTATCAATTTATTTTAGAAAAGGGGTTTCCTGACCAAATGGTTGGGAATCTCTGATATAGATAACCCGCCACGGACTAATGAGAATGTAGATATTTCACTGAACGTGTACCATCAATGCATACAACATAAGACCTGAATATAATTTGAGATATAACTTTTGCAGTGCATTATGTTGCATACGTCACCATTTCTACTATAACAACAGCAACAGTTCCATTGCAATGCGGCGGTGGTGACTTGCACATGTTAAAAGGTGGAAATTCATTAGCTAATTTAGAAATTACTCCTGACTAATTGTATTTGTACGAGATTAAAATATTTCATAATTATAAAAAGTACAAACAACAAAAAAATAATGAATTGCATAAGCAGAACTACAGACCCGATTATACAAATCCAAGTAAGTGTGAGACAGTTTCGCGCGCAGTGGGTTCTGCACAAAAATTTAATTTAAAAACTGTTACAAGCTCTGTGATTTGATATATCACAGAGGATATAATTCTCTAAATTGTTCTTTTTTAAGTTCACCCGACTAACGGACGATTTCTCCATTGAGAAAAATACAAAATATCAACTAATTATTCTCAATAACTTAAGGGTTTTTTACGTTTCTTCACAAGTAAAACTTCATAGTTTTATTAAACTGCAATCAACTAATCATTATAAACTAAAATCAGAAACGAAAACCTCTCTAAAGTAACGTTTATGTACAGTTCGAGGCGTTCTTAACTTTGAATTTTGAATTCCCAAACAAACTATTACTCTAACAAATATAAATACGGAGAAAAACGCCTAAGACAGACAGGCGGACGCTCAAACCATTTGTCAAAATATTTTGACAAATGGTATGTTTGTTTGTGATTATTATTACGTTGTTTTATTTTAATTTTATTTTTATTTCATTAGCACACGTTACGAATACTGACACAAAACTGAATTGGTTTATTAAATTAGATTCCCTTTATGAGCCTTTATTTTACGTAGTTAACTAAGTAACAAGAGATGATAAACATCTCTACATAAAAATAATTTACACTCGTGTTCACCAGGAAAATGCAAATAGGACCCCGACATTTATTAAGATAAATACCTTTACACGAATCTGCAAACGTAAACCTCTGTATGAAACAAAGAAAATTTCGTTTAATGTGACAAAAGTACACCCACAAACCACACAAAGCGCAAACCTACATCTCGCAGCTCATTAGTTAATAATATTTATTTTGATAACGAAATAAAACATCAGGGAAACGCTTGCCACAAAACACCACAGCTTTGGGACCGACAGGTGTTTAAAAACAGAATGTGTTTTTTTATTATGAAATGAGGTTTGCGTTTTTACACGTTTGGTGAGTTTTTACAATTTATTTTTCAGGTATAACTCTAGTTGCAGTCATAAATAATAATTTTCATAGCAACCGTGATGTCTTAATTAATACAAAAATAACATTAGTTTGATTTGTTTTGAAAGTTTTAGGAAAAATAATAGGTGTGTTGGTTTAAAATTTGTTTAAATAAATTAAGTAGATACTTATTACATAAAATTAATCTTCCGTCCACAACCCTAACCGATATCAATATAGATGTAATGCATTAGAAACAAAAAAAAAACATCATGATGTTCATAAAAAATCGACTCGCTGACAAATGCAAAAGGAACTTACACATTTAGACCGTTCATTACACTCCGAGCAATAATCTGTGTATAATTCTATGTTTGCTCATAAACATAAGCAAGGCGTACGACAATCTGGGTTGTAATGTAATAAAATTGCATTCGTATTTCATGCGTCCCGCTCCCTAACGATATTAGGGATGATTCCCATGCTGTAGGCAAAGCGGTCTTATTATAAGCTGTATAATAAACAATAAGGGCGATAACGCGCTTATAGTGGTATTTCTGGTGCTATATACTGCGACAAAACTGCTCGTTTTCACGTCACTATGCTGATGTGTTTCGATATATGTATTTTGTCCGCTTCGGGGGTGAAACCGAAACTTTGTTTGAAAAAAAATAGAAAAATATCACATTTTGCTACTTATGAGATAAAGTTTCAGTCTAATAAATGAAATATACAATCATAATTACAATAATTCTAGTATACAATATAAATTATGTAGTTCTATATGTATAATAAAATCCTAATTTATCAAAATTAATATTTATCCATAGCTCTACTAACTTGTATAACTTGCACTGTCATAGCTCTAATAAATTTTAATATCTATTACATTATTTTCGAAACAACCAGGTGCAAACGAAATTGTCTTATTAATTATTTATTTATTCAATATTGGAGATTCGAATTAAGGTTTTATAACCGCAAATAAAAAAATATCCGAGCTAATACCACATGATACGTAAAATAAAAGTTAAGAATCGTCTCGCAAATATAGCATTTTACAAACATATATGTAGCATATATTAATAAGATAAAGATAATGTTGATAACATTTCTACACATCGTTTAAGTATATGCATTTTAATTTGTTTAAGATTTAATTACAATTCCCTGTCACTATTTAAGCAGTGGTAGGTAATAACGATATAGCATCTATTTTTGTAGACATTTGCCAAATAAAAAAATATCATAAATAAGAAAACACGATGATTTTTAAATGCTTTTTATTTAAATTACAAGTGATGGAATATGTATTTACAATTAAATAAATTTTTTTTGTACATTAGCTATATTTTTCAATTCATATTATCATCTAATGCTTCATATTTTATCAAAAAAACGCCGGAATTCCTGTTATTGCTCTTCCTAATATTAGCGCATGAATATCATGTGTACCTTCATATGTATTCACTGCCTCTAAATTCATTACATGTCTTATAATATGATACTCATCTGATACGCCATTCCCACCTAGCATATCTCTGGCCGATCTAGCAATATCTAAGGCTTTCCCACAGTTATTCCTTTTTAAAAGAGAAATCATCTCCGGTACCGCTTGACCTTCATCCTTCAAACGGCCTACTCTAAGACATGCTTGGTACGCGATGTGTATTTCAGTAAGCATATCAGCTAACTTTTTTTGTATCAGCTGGTTTGCTGCCAACGGTCTACCGAATTGTTTCCTATCTAATGTGTACTGTCTGGCGATACGCAAACAAGTTTCGGCCGCTCCGAGAGCGCCCCAAGAGATCCCGTACCGCGCGTTATTGAGACATCCGAATGGCCCTTTCAAACCAACAACGTTAGGCAATAAATTCTCCTCTGGTATAGCCACTTCGTCGAGCAATATCATCCCAGTAGCCGACGCCCGCAAGGAGAATTTCCCATTGATTTTAGGCGTGTCTAAACCTTTCTTTACTTGTGAACGTTCAACAATAAAACCTCTTACTTTACCCTCTTCGTTTTTCGCCCATACTACTAGTATGTCGGCAATGGGGGAATTGGTTATCCATGTTTTAGAGCCAGACAGAATGTAACATTTATTTTTCGAATCATATTTAGCTCTCGTTACTAATCCACCAGCGTCACTGCCGAAGTTTGGCTCTGTTAGTCCAAAGCAACCCACTAGTTCTCCCTTAGCCATTCTTGGTAAGAACCTTTCTTTTTGTTCTTCACTGCCGTACATATATATTGCACCCATCGCTAAACTGCTCTGTACGCTCATTGCCGACCTGAAAGCTGAGTCCACTCCATCCAGTTCTCTTGTGATCAAACCATAAGTGACATTGGATACGCCAGCACATCCATATCCTTTAATAGTACATCCGAGGGCGCCCAATTCACCCATTTCTTTGTAAATACTTCGGTCGAAGACTTCATTTCTGTTAGCTTCGATTATTCTGGGCAATAGTTTCTCGTTACAATAAGCTTTGAACGAGTCCCTGATCGCCTTTTCGTCGTCATGTAACTGCCCATCTAAATTCAAGGGGTCCTCCCAGTTAAATGTTACTTTAGCATTTCTCATACCCGTGGTTGACAGTGCTCGAACATTATTATTTTTACACAGAACTGTGATAATTTTCGTTGTTAAAGACATGGCAATGAAATTATTCGCACTTGTTGTGATGAGGTAACCGAATTAATATGATCGAGTCGATTGTTTACTTTTTAATTCACTATAATACACTTCAATATCTTTATTTTTACGGGTTACCACATAAACATGATATAATATTTCACTTTCGTATATTTATCGTTGAAATTGCGCATTATTTACATGTTACAACCTAACCTCTACTGAGTTAATGACATACATCAAAACTAAAATAGCTCTCTGTAGCTAACTTCACTCCAATCAGTTGTTTGTCAGTCAACAGAGTGCGTAAGCGCCTATTCAGAATATACTCCTAGTTAATAAATTTTGAACATTCCTGCGCAACAAATAAAGTTGAAATATAAATGTAAATATAAAAATTTACGGCAATAAATATGTTTGTGTTGCTAAGGGACCACATATACTATGATTTTCTTATCATAAATAAATGTAATAGTTGATAATATTTATCTTCTAACGATATTTATCTTTTTGTAGTAGTGATAACACATCTACATTTTTTTACTTATAAACATAGAAAATGTTTTACCAAATGATAACTTCTCATGTTTCATTCGGGTAATAAAGGTCCTTATGTTTTGTTGTATATTTGAAAGTGTTGTATCTGCCAGAATTCAAACTACCTTTATGTGAAGAATAATAACAAATTAAAAATCTGAAATTCATACACAATAAATAATAATAAATACAGAACTAAAACACAGTTTCCGAGTACTATTCATATAATGTAGATACCGATATCCAAAAATATAAAAGCAATAGTAAAAAATATTTGTCTTAAGGTCAGCTGCACAAACGTCCATTAAGGTTTAATGATGCCTTTAAGCTCTAATGAATGTCAAAATTGTATTGGTAATGTCGCTTTAAACTAATGGAAATTGTAATGGACGTTTGTGAAACTTGCTGTTAGATAGATAATTTAAAAAAAGATTCTAAAGGAGGTTGGTCGCCAGCAACATCAAAAAGTGATATTATGTCGTAGAGTGCAGTAATTTTTTTACATTGAATACTCATTTAACAAAAAATTATATATCAAGATAATGTAACTAAAACTCATTTTACAACTTTGATAGTAACTAATATATACTGTTTGTTGAGTCAAATTGGAGAAACATACTAATTTCTGGAATGAATTTAAAAATCAGTAAAACATTTTGGAAGAACGTAGGTATTTTTTTCCAACTTAAACACATTTGCTAATAAGATTATGTAACAAAGTGGATTCATTAAGCATTTTTCGTTAAAATTATTTTTCAGTATAGTATTGTGAATGCAAAACAAAAGAAATTTTCATCTTTATTGGAAGTTTAAATATTTGTAAAAATATTTCTTTCGCCTTTTTTTCGGCTGTTTGGGTGGATTACCTGAATATTGATGAAAATACGCGCTTTAGTATTAGATTCGTCACATCTGTTAGTTTCTGGGTAGCTCAGTGGTAGAGCAGTTGTCGGATTGCGAAAGGTCATATGTTCAAGACCAATCTCAGAGTGCTTGGGATAAAGTGCTTTTTTAAGAATTCTTATGAAGAATGTAGATTAAGTAAATTTATTATAATAATTTAAAATCGATTTGAAATTCTTTATCACCATTTAACTACTTAAATAATAATTATTTTTTCCTGCAGACTTAGTTTTTCTTATTTCAATCAAATTATTTTGAAAATATAATGACCGGTGATATTAAATGTAAATAAATTCCAATTCCAATAATAAGGAAACAGAAAGTATTTAATTTTTGTCGTTTCTTCAGAAATCAATAAGCTCTCTTACGGTGTAAAATAGAATTGCCAATTCTATGTCGTGCCAACATCTTGAGTTTTCATGTTGATAAAATTATATTTATAAAATTAATTGATAAAATTATGATTTATATTTATTATATTTGATCTATTATGTATTCACAATGTTATACTGATAAATATTTTTTTATTAAAAATGCTTACAAAATCTACTGACCCCAGGTGCCCCGAAGTGGGACTCGAACCTTAAAATTTACTAATTAATATGTTCACGACGGGATCACTAGGTATTTTAAAATTTTCGAATAGTTACGTCCATGTCGAGATAGTTTTTTTGGTGTTATTGAAACTAAACTTAAGTAATAACTACGTCTTTTTGTCTTGGTTTTACTAACTGTATACCTTTTTTAATGTTGAGGTTTACAACCCTTATGTCAATAGTTAGCACTTTCAGAACTTTATCACATTACTTTAATATTAAATTCGAACAAGTTTATTAATAAATTTTGAAATGAAAACGACTAAAATAATTAATACATAATAAAATAACAAAACAAAATATTTTCTTTAAATATTTAGTAATAACAAAACAAAATATTTTGTTTTGTTATTATTTTGACTTGTTAATGGTATATTTAAAAGCGTTTCAATGCGCGTTTCAAACATTTAAAATTACTAACTTTGTTGAACATTTTCCATTAGAGATGCTTTCGATGGACCACGTTAACAAATTCACAACAGAAATCTAGTCGTAAATACAAATTAGATGAAAGATGCGAACGAAACAACATGCAGGGGGCCAATTCTACTAAATAAATTTTGTTTAAATCGAATCGAAAACGGATCGAAACCGAACGAAACTACAGTTTTTAATGGTTTTTCTAATCTAATGAGTGACATACGATACAATTCCAGCTAAAATAGAAGTGGAATTGTATCGTATGACACTTTGTGCACTTGTACTACTGCCTGCCTAATAACTTGTTGAATTCTCTGGGCTAATTGTTTAATTTTAAAAATCTATTGCTATCCTTTTCATAAGTATACCGATTGTCAAAGTGATTTATAGAATTACGGAACGTCTCAAGTCGCGATCACTTTTGGAACGTATGATGGTTTAAATGATTAAGAAACATGATAAAAAATTTCCAGAATGATTGCAGTCAACATTCACGTTTTTCTTTCCCAATAGCTTTCAAATCTAAAGTTAACTCCAATTAACGTCAAATGATATTGTTCCCAAGTCAAATGCTTTATCACATCTTAAATAATTGTAGCGTGAAGTTAAATAGTTTGAATTTTAGCATTTGTTGTTATTGGCTATGTGCACGACTTCAGCGACACCTAGCGTCCTCTATTTTGGCTTTGACGCTTTGAAATTGAACATGTTATTTTAGGCAGAATATAATCAACAACTATCTATTATTTTCTATCACAAAACTACTGCGATACTGTGATTTGGGTGAACAGAGGGTTGTAAAATTAGTTTTAATCATTCAAATTAAATGATGCTACAAAATTTTATTTTTAGTTGCAATTTTACTGTAAATCAAGACATTAATTCGTTAGTAATAAATGAAATATGGTTTGAAGATCGAAATGAGTATTATCCTGAGGACCTGGTGTATATGTAGGTATCCCTCACAATATAAAATAAAAGCTTTGATACCTTGCAATGCCTTTATTTTTAAGGTAGGCCATGATAATTAAACAGTTTTCACAATAATTCAGTGGAAAGAAATTCAAGTACATAGTATTATTAAAAATTAAGGATAGCTATTAGAGAGCAATGAAACGACCCGCTGCGGTTGGTTTTGACAGAGACACTAATTTTATTTCTTTTAAAATTACATTGACATATATGTATAAAAATAAATCAATCAAAAAAGGTTAAATACATTTTAACAAAGAGTTCGCAACATCATCCGCCCCGTGTAGTATCTTGCTACACCATTGACTCGGCTGCTGGGGCTATAAGAGCTAGCTTCTTGGTGGGTCTCCTGAGTATTCCGCCTTTGGTAGTAACGTCGGCGACTCTTACGACTCCGTCAGCTCCGGGATGGAGGCCTATTACTTTGCCAAAAATCCAAGTGCCTCGTGGTGCCTGATAATCGACAACTAAAACCACGTCGCCGATCTCCAGGTTCTGATGTCCTCTCTGCTGTGGTCGCCGCACGCGAAGACATGGTAGGTATTCACGCAGCCATCTTCTCCAAAAATGTTCGGAGAGACGCAAGGCCTTCTGCCATTCCTTTCTCAAGGAGAACACACCATCATCGAGAGGATAGGGTAATTGATGGTTAGAAGACGATCCGATGAGAAAGTGGAACGGTGTCAAAGACTCTACCGTGTCGTTCCGTGTTACATAAGTTAACGGACGGGAGTTTGCTAATGCTTCGGCTTCTAGTAACAAGGTCGATAAGGTTTCTTCTTTCGGCGCTCTGTCTTTTAGCGTCGTCTTAAGAGCTGTTTTAATGGTACGGACAAGTCGCTCCCAGCAACCACCCATGAACGGAGAGGCTGGGGGAATGAAAGACCACTGAATTTTGTTGTTGGCGGCAAAATCTTCTACGGCTTGGCCATAAAACTCTGCGAGCTGTCGACTGGCTCCAACAAAACCTGTACCATTATCACTCAGGATTTTTAATGGTGTTCCACGACGAGCTATAAATCTACGCAGGCAAGAAATTGCTGAATCGGCTGATAAAGATGACACAACCTCGAGGTGAACTGCCCTTGTTGTCATACATGTGAATAGAGCTACGTAACGTTTTTCACGACGACGTCCAACAGATACTTCTAATGGCCCGAAATAATCCAGGCCTACGTTGGTGAATGGGCGCTCATGGTGTTCGAGGCGTAATGCTGGTATATCACCCATTGGTGGACAGCTCGGTTTAGCTTTGCGTATCTTGCATGATTGACAATTTCTCGCGACTGCTTTCACTGCGTTTCGACAATTTGGTATCCAAAAACGTTGCTTGAGCTCGTTATAAATCATTTCGTTGTGACCGTGTCCCGCTCTAACGTGGTGGTGGTGTATTAACAAGCGGACAGAGAGATGGCGGCCATCAAGAATAATTGGTGACGCAGTATCACGAGGCAGGCCTTTCATATGGTGGATGCGGCTATCCAATCTAAGTAAACCATGTTCATCGAGGACGGGTGAGACCATATGGAGTTTACTTGTGACAGGCAGAGTCTTAGAATTGTACAGGAGACCCAATTCTGTGCTGAAGCTGTCTATCTGCGACTTTTTGAAGATGGCCCTTTCCGCGTTCTCAATTTCCAAGGCGGTAAGAGCAGATGATTTTTCTGAAAAGGATCTGTTAGTTTGGGAATTTGAATTTAGGCGTAAAGTTTCCAAAAAGTGCCGAAATATTTGTACACATCGATGTGTGCGTGCTGTTGCACGGACAAATCTTAACCAAACACTGAATCGTTTG